CCCACACCTGGACAGCCTCTGCTTCCCAGGCAAGAGGGAGCCTTTGGGCAGGGAGACATGGTGCCTTTGGTGGACCGGCCTGGCTGCTGGGAACCAGAAAGAGGCAGGGGGTCCTCTTCACTCTCTGGACCCTGCCAGGGTCTGCTGTGACGTGACCAACCCAACCCAACACCAGGCCTGCTTCTTCCTCCCCTGCAGGAGCTTGCAGCCTGTGGGAGATGGGGTGACACAGCAGGAACACAACAGCAGGATGTGCTAAGTAGGAAGGGATGGGAGTCAGGAAGGGCTTCCTGGAAGAGGGGGCCTAGGAGCACGCAGTCCAAGGCCTCGTACTAGGTAGGTGCTCAATAGATATCTGCTGAGTGAGGTTCCAGGAAGGGAAGCCCACTGCTTCGTAGAGGAGAGGATGTGATGGTGCTGGTGGCGAGTGATGATGGTGGAGACTGAGGATGGTGACGATGATGACCATGATGGTGGTGACAGTGATGGTGATGATGACAGTGATAGTGGTGATGGTGATGATGGTGGTGACAGTGATCATGGTGGTGATGGTGATGATGACAATGATGATAATGAGGATGATGGTGACAATGAGGGTGGTGATGATGACAATGATGATGATAATGAGGAGGAAGATGGTGACAATGATGAGAATGATGGTGGTGATGATAATGATGAGGATGGTGACTATGATGACAATGATGGTGATAATGCTGGTGACAATGATGGTGATGATGAGGATGATGAGGAAGGTGATGATGATGGTGATGATGATAATGAGGATGGTGACAATGATGATGGTGATGGTGACAATGATGACAATGAGGGTGATAATGGTGGTGACGATGATAACAATGATGATGACGATGAGGATGAGGATGGTGATGATGACAGCAACTAACTTTTACTGAGCATTTAATTTGTGCTTAGTGCTACTTCTCTAAGTTTCACATGTGCCCACTCATTTAATCCTTATGAGTTTGTGGGGTATGTGCTATTATGATGGTCCCCATTTTACAGATGTGCAACCTCAGTGCAAATTGAGGCACAAAGAGGTGAAGTCATTCGCCCAAGGTTTCACAGCTCGCCCGTGGCAGGGGCAGAATGAGAACCCTCCGCAGCCCCACTGACTGGCTGTCAGGGAGGGAGCTGGACAGCCCTTCAGGAGGCAGGGATGGGCAGTGCAGATGACATAGCATCCGTTTTCGGGTTGTCAGAGCTGGGGGGGGGGGGGGCCCTAGTAGAGAGGCCTGGACACCATGGAGAAGGCTGGGATGAGGGTGACGATCCCAGTCAGTGTCCAAGGGGCCTCCCTCCATCCCACCTCTGCCCCAGCTGCCAGGGGGACTTTCTGCCCCTAGGAGGCCCTGTCCAGACTCCTGCCCTTTCCCATCAGCCCTTTCTCTTCCTTCAGTGGTGAGCCCTTTCCCTCAGTGACTGGCATCCTGGCCCTGCCTCACCAGGAGTCTGCCCCTCTGAAAGCCCGTCTCCCAGTGTAAACAGCAGGGCAGGCAGCCCCAGGCCAGACGCTTGGTTTCGGGCTCCCAAGCATGGCAGGTGGGGAGGGGTGCAGGGGGGTCTTCAGACCTTCCCAGTCTATTCAGCCTCTCCCAGTTCTACTACTGAACCCCTGCTAGTGACCCCATGCCCATATCCACGAGCTCCCTCTGCCCAACCCGGGGCCACACCCCTGGCCCTGCCAGCAGTGCTGTGGGCACAGAGAGCCCATCAGAATGAGTTGGCTGCTGCCTGGAGGTCCTCCCACCCGCCGTGCCCGGCCCGCCCTCCCCGGGCAAAGGAACACGGGCCACGAGAGCCCACTTGGAGCCCAGCGAACTGGTTTTTCTCACTGCCCCACAGGGAGGAATGGGTAGGGGAAGGCCACATCTGCCTGGAGGCATGGCTGGTGGGATGGGCCTCGGGTGCCCGAGCTTCTGCCGCACCCTCCTGCCCTCACCAGGTGCTGCCAGCCCTCCCCAGGCACGCAGCTCCACAGGCTCAGGTCACCTCTGAAGAGGCCATAGTGAGTGTCAGCCTGGTGGCCAGGCACTGGCCCTGCTGCCCCCACACCTGCAGGGAGATGTAAGGAGAGGAGGTCACAGCCTCTCGCCCCGCCATGCCCGACGCCAACCCCCAGACAGCAGCTGGGGGCACCCCTTTCTCCACCCTGCCTGCACCCGGCCCAAGCGCTCCCAACCGGCTTTTCCTGTTCCTGCTTTGTTGGTGAAAGTTCCCCACTGGGCCTCATTCTCAGCTGCTGGTGAGCCTGGCAGGCAGGGAGCACCACCCCTGTTCTCCTGGGAGGGCCTTGCACTTGCCTGCTGGCCACCTCGCCCATCACATGGGGGTCTGGGCTGTCCGGCCCACTGACCACACTGGCTTGGCTACAGTTCAAGGACTTAAGCAGTTAGGGCCACTCAGGGAGAAGAAAGGGGGCTCAGAGGGGTTCCTGGTCAGGTCTCAGGCAGCTCAGGAGGGAGCCGATAGGACCCAGGCCTCCTCACTCCTGTGGGTGCTCCTCTGTCAGATGCCACCAGCCTGCAGGGCATCTGCAGAGACATGTTGGAACCCACAGTCCGAGGGAGGACGGCGGGGGTGGGGCTGTGGATAATCCAGGTGGGCCTGTGGGCGTGTGTGCGGGGCAGAGCATGGCTGGGCTTGGTGTGGAGAGACCAGCGACCTTTAGTCGCAAGCATTTCCTGAGTCCCTGAGTGCCTAAGAGAGCTGGCCTGTACCCTCGTAAGGGGGAGGGGGCAGCCGCTTCCCTGACCATGGCGTGGGGTCTTCAGAGGGCTGTGCCCTGCTCCGGTGCCCGCGTGCAGAGGCAGCACGGCCCGCGGTCCTGCCCCTCTGGAAGCCTCCAGGCCGTGCTGTGCCTCTGGTCCGCGCAGGCCCGGCGCTGCGCAGCTCCCGGGCTCAGCAAGCTGGCCAATGAGTGGGGGTGAGGGACACGCTGCGCAGAGCTCGGGCCACAGAGCGAAGGCACGCGACAGGAGGCTAAGCCAAGTTCAGGGCTGAGGCAGCACAGCAGAAGCCATTCTCGATGGGACAGAATGGCTGGGGGAGGCCGTGGGGGTATTTATTGGGTCCCACTGATCGCTCCCTCCTTCCTGCGAGTCACCACTCTCACTGCCTCCATCGTGACTTGTGAATAGTTTTTTAATTGATTGGCCTCAGAGACAGGAAGAGGAGAGAGATGTGTTTGTTCGTTGGTTGATTCTCGTACGTGCCCTGCCCAGGGATGCCACGTACACCCCGGCGGTCGGGGCGACACTCCAGCCAATGGCGCTCCCTGGCCGAGGCTGATCTGTGAATCTCTGCAGAGCAAGTATGTGCCGAGCACCCGCTGTGTCAGCGGTGTGAGCAGCCACGTCACAGGCGGAAAGGAGCTGTCGTGGGTGTGGCTGGGTTCACAGCTGGAGGATCAGGGGCTTCCCAGAGGGGGTGGCCCAGTAGATTATCGGGGGGGGGGGGGGGGGGGGGGCGCTTCTCGGGAACTGCATGAGTAGGAGGCAGGAAGTGTTGCATCTGCTCCTTGGGGCTGGCACTGAATTGCTCATATGATTCAAGTGCTGATACGGACTCAGCACCTAGAGGTAGAATAAACGGAGGAGGGGGAGAAGCTCAAAACCAGGCAGGTTCGGAAGGCTGCGCCTGCTTCTGCTTACCCCGCTGGGTCGGGGGGGGGGGGGGGGGGGGCAGTGAGCCAGTGCACCCGGACACGGGATCGAGCTCTGCGGAGGAGAGAGCAGGAGCCACCGGGGTCCTATGTCCCCAGTGCTTCCTGTCTCCTCTGTTCCTCGTCCATCAGACCGTTCGGCTCTAGCAGCCCTGTGTGGGGAGGCCGCCCATCTGCCAGAGGAGGGAAGCCAGGCAGAGTGAAGCAGCCGGTGGCACTCGGCTGAGCTGGGCTGAGAGCAGTGTATTCCACCCTCATGGAAATGGGAAATGAGCTCTGGCTGGTGTGACCAAGTGGATAGAGCGTTGGCCTGCAGGCTGAAGGGTCCCTGGTTCTATTCCAGTCAAGGGCATGGATGTTGGTTGCAGGCTCCTCCTGGCCCTGATCAGGGTTTGTGGAAAACAACCCATCAATGTGTCTCTACATCAATGTTTCTCTCTGTTCTCCCTCTCCTTTCCACTCTCTCTAAAAATCAATGGGAAAATGTCCTCGGGTGAGGATTAACCAAAAAATTAGCAAGAGAGGGTGTGGCAGGTATGTGCTGCCAAGGAGCGGTATTGACAGCAGCACCCATGGAAGGCAGCATCGAGCAACATGCAAAGTGTGGTCTTGATTTTGTGGGGAAAGTGAGTAGATGGCGGGGCAGCTGCAGAGAAAACAGTGAAAAGTGTCCCCACAAGGTGACCAGTGATGTTTCTGAGTGGTGGGGCCGGGGTTCTCACTTTTTTTCTCAGTATTTCTTTTTTTTTCTTTCTATATTTTTATTGATTTCAGAGAGGGAGAGAGAGAAACATCAATGACGAGAGAGAATCATGGATCAGCTGCCTCCTGCACGCCCCACACTGGGGGGATCGAGCCTGCAACCCGGTGCATGCCCTTGATCAAAATTGAACCTGAGACCCTTCAGTCTGCAGGCCAATGCTCTATCCACTGAGCCACAGGGCTTGTCTCAGTATTTTTCAGTATCACCCAGTGTTTTTATAACAAGCATGTATTCTGTGTGTAATCAGAATAAGGAGACTATGTCTGGCCAGTGTGGCTCAGTGGTTGAGTGTCGACCTATGAACCAGGAGGTCATGGTTTGTGCCCAGCCAGGACACATGTCCAGGCTGCGGGCTCGATCCCCAGTGGGGGGCGTGCAGGAGGCAGCGATCAGTGATTCTCTCATCACTGATGTTTCTCTGTCTCCCTTCCTCCCTGAAACCAACACAAATGTGTTTTAAGAAAAGAATAAGGAGTGTGGCCGCCGGGAAAGGACACAGTGGCTGGCGCCGGGTGGAGGGTGTGCCTGGCGCTGACCCCGCCGCCCCCTCTCGCCCAGGTGCCCGCGCCCAGATGGTGCAGGTGAACGACTCCATGTCCGGCTTCATCGGCACCGACGTGGTGCTGCACTGCAGCTTCGCCAACCCGCTGCCCGGCGTGAAGATCACCCAGATCACCTGGCAGAAGGCGACCAACGGCTCCAAGCAGAACGTGGCCATCTTCAACCCGGCCATGGGCTTCTCGGTGCTGCTCCCCTACCGCGAGCGCGTGCAGTTCCTGCGGCCCTCCTTCACCGACGGCACCATCCGCCTCTCCCGCCTCGAGCTGGACGACGAGGGCGTCTACATCTGCGAGTTCGCCACCTTCCCTGCGGGCAACCGCGAGAGCCAGCTCAACCTGACCGTGATGGGTGAGCGCCCCTCCGCCCACGTGCGCAGGGCTGGGCCGGCGAGCTCCCAGGGCTGCGGGCCTGGCGCCTGCAGTCCCTCTGGCCTGGCTGCCCACAGCTCCTAGGGGTTAGGGCAGGGCCTCGGCTCTGGGCGGAGCTGAGGGTCAGTGTTCAGGCCGCAGCCACTGTGGGGCCCCTGGTGGGTGGCAGGAGGAGTGCAGAGCCTCAGATGCCCGGGAAGGAGAGGGCTGTGGAGCCACGGCCTGGGTCACGGCACGCCGCCCAGAAGGCCTGGGCCTGCTCAGATGGTGGAATGAGGTCGCCATGCAGAGTCCCGGGCGGAGTGCGGGGGCACAGCGGTGGGACAGCCACGGAGACCTGAGCGAGGCCAGGCAGGGGCATCCCCGCCCGAGCCCTCTGACCGGGATGAGAGCCAGGCCCATGGCTGCCTCCGCTTCCCACAGCCAAACCCACCAACTGGATCGAGAGCAGCCAGGCCGTGCTTCGTGCCGAGAAGGGGCGGGACGAGAAAGTCCTGGTGGCCACCTGCACCTCGGCCAACGGGAAGCCGCCCGGCGTGCTGTCCTGGGAAACGCGGCTGAAGGGGGAGGCCGAGTACCAGGAGGTCCGGAACCCCAACGGCACGGTGACCGTCGTCAGCCGGTACCGCCTGGTGCCAGGCCGGGAGGCCCACCTGCAGCCCCTGGCCTGCATCGTCAACTACCACCTGGACCGCTTCCGGGAGAGCATCACCGTCCGCGTGCAGTGTGAGCGGGCGGGGCGCGGCGGGCCTCCGAGGGCGCCCTCCTTCCCAGGCCTGTCACCCTCCGGCCCCCTTCCTGCCCTCCCCGCCTCCACCCTCCCCTCCCCCTCCCTCTTCCTCCTCTTCTCCTTCTGGGGTGGTTTTCCCCCTCCTCTCTTCCCCGTGGCCTCCCTTCCCTCACCCTTCCTCTCCTCCTTTCTTCCCGCTGCCTCTGGGAGCTCCCACCCCTCACGCTTCCCCCTGGGGCCAGTTCCGTGTCATTGTCGATGCCACCCCTTCACTGTCTGGGGGCCCCTGGTCTCACGTCTGCTCCTCTGACCTTGTTCTTTGGCCACAGACGAGCCTGAGGTGACCATCGAAGGGTTTGATGGGAACTGGTACCTGCAGCGGACGGACGTGAAGCTCACCTGCAGAGCCGACGCCAACCCCCCGGCCACCGAGTTCCGCTGGACCACGTGAGTGCGCGGGCCGCCGGGTGCCTGGCTGGTCACGGGGGCCTGAGGCGGGAGGACGCTCAGTCTCGGCTGGGGGTCTGGGTGAGAGGCCGAGGGCACGCTGCCCTGTGCTCCTCTCGGTGTGCGGTGCTGTCAGTGTTGCTCTGTGGCAGCCAGCGCCTGTCCACAGCGCGGTCAGCGGCCAGGCCGGCCGGCACAGGGGCTCCCCTGTGACCTGCCCCCTCTGCTGCTGCTGACGCTGCCCTTTTCCGCGGCTGACGGTCTGAGTCGCTGCCAGCCCAGCCCCCGCGTTCATTTCTGTCCCGAGTCCCCGGGAAAGCTGGCTGCCTAGAGCCTTCCCACCTCCTTCTCCAGCGCCCGTTCTCAGGGAGGCGCGGAGGCCCGGGCGCCTGTGCTCGGGGCTCGTCCACGTGCTGTTGGCGCTCTCCTGGCCTCGCGGGCGCAGGCCTGGCCCGCAGAGGCTCTTCCCGCAGGGGCCCCCGGCCGCAGCCAGCTCTCCTGAGAAGGGCTGGGGCGCCGAGGAGGAGCCGGGCATGGTGGGCAGAGACGGCTGTCTAGATTACATCAACAACTATTCCTTTTTTTAAATACATTTACTACTTTTTTATAATATATTTTTATTTATTATTATTGCCGAGACTGGTTTGGCTCAATGGATAGAGCGTCAGCCTGAGGACTGAAGGGTCCCAGGTTCGATTCCAGCCAAGGGCATGTATCTTGTTTGCAGGCACATCCCCAGTAGGGGGTGTGCAGGAGGCAGCTGATCAATGTTTCTAACTCTCTATTTCTCTCCCTTTCTCTCTGTAAGAAAATCAATAAAATACTTTAAAAAAAAAATATATATATATATATATATACACACACACACACACACACACTTTTATTGATTTCAAAGAGGAAGGGAGAAGGAGAGGGAGAGAGAGAAACATCAGTGCTGAGAGGGAATAAAGGACAGCTGCCTCCTGCAGGCCCCCCACTGGGGATCGAGCCCACCACCTGGCATGTGCCCTGACCAGGAATCAAACCGGAATCCTTCAGTCCACAGCCTGACGCTCTGTCCACTGACCCACACCAGCCAGGGCTCCACACTCTCTTCCAGGAGGGAGTGGGCACCGTCCCCTGCCGTCACCCTCCACCTCCTGGAACCGGAAGTGCTTCCGAAGGTGTGAGTGGGGCCTGCTCGCCAGTTCCATGTCCGTGGGCGGCAGCTGTGGAATCCCACAGGGTAGTTGCTCTGTGGCCTTGGGGAGCAGAGGAAGGAAGGTCCCTATGTTCCGGAAACGTCTGGGCCTGTGACATGCCCAGTAAGAACACAAGCGAGGGAAATGGAACAATTCCTAAGCCTGAGGCACGTCTCCTTACCCAAGTAACTTGTTAAAATACAAATGGCCAGCCCCCCCGTGTGGCTCAGAGGCTGAGCATCAACCTAGGAACCAGGAGGTCACAGTTCGATTCCTGGTCAGGACACAGGCCCGGGTTGCAGGCTCCATCCCAGTGTGGGGCATGCAGGAGGCAGCCGATCCATTGATGTTTCTCTCTCTCCCTCTCCCTTCCTCTCTGAGATCAATAAAAAGATATATTTTTATAAATTCAGATCCCAGGTCATGGCTCCGGAGGTCAAGCTTCAGTGGAGCTGGGTGAGAGCCCAGATGTGTGTTAACCAACTCCACAGAAACCAGGTCAACAATCAGGAGCCACGAGTCTCAGAAAGCGCCGGGCAGGCCATCAGAGAGCTGCCTCAAGCTCCAGTCCTGCCGCTTACCCTCAGGCCCTCACTGCCCAGTGGGACTCGCACCGGGGGCGTCCGCGTTGGGTGCGGTGGCCGGCAGAGGCAGGGCTGGGCGCAGGAAGCTGCCTGCATGCCTCCTTCCAGCCAGACCCCTGCTCCCGCGGAAGGCGGCGAGGTCCTGACCAGTGTCTCCACCGCAGGCTGAACGGCTCTCTGCCCAGGGGCGTGGAGCCGCAGAACAGAACCCTCCTCTTCCGGGGGCCTATCGACTACAGCCTGACGGGGACCTACGTCTGCGAGGCCACCAACCCCATCGGCACCCGCTCGGGCCAGGTGGAGGTCAACATCACAGGTGCCTCCCTGCCCCACCCCCACCCCCCACGCTCCTCCTCTGCCTCCGCTCGCTCTGTCCCTGCAGCTTGTGCTCCTCTGCCTGCATCTGCCCTTCTCCGGGCGCGGGCCTTTCTCCTCCGCTGGCGGCTGTGAGACAGTCGGGAGGCCCGAGCAGCGAGTGCCCCCTGGGGTCTGCCAGCAGCAGCCCCGGGGAGGCCGGCAGGGGAGGGGGCTGTGATGGAGCTAATCTCCAAGCTCTGCTCTGGGTCCAGGGAGGCCCGCCGGCCTGGAGGAGGAGGCCCACTCTGCGGGATCCTGGAGGGAGAGCGAGGAGTCACCCGCCTGGAGCCAGGGTGGCGGGGCCTGCGCTGAGCGAGCGGACGCTCTCCCTGCGTTTCTCTGTCACTGCGGACGAGGGGGTCGGCCTCCAGACCTTTCGGGGCAAAGGGTGGACGTGGGCTGGGAGGCTCTGCGACCTCACGGGGATGAGGAGTGAGGCTTCCCTGTCAGGAGGGTGGAACCTGTGAAATGGGGCAAATGCGAGGTGCCGAAGGCAGGCTGCAGCCAGCACAGACCTCCCTGCCTGCGAGCGGCCGCCCTCCGTGGTCATCCCGGGAACCATGGAAACGGGCCGCAGCGGGCGTGCCCTCAGCCTGGTCGGCGGTGCAGGACGTGTCCAGCTGGTGCCTTGGCCGCTGCGGGATGCGAGCACACAGTGACATCGCGGTGTGTCTCGGACGAGTGTGTGGACAGGGGTGCGGGGCCAGGGCCGGGCTGGGCCAGCCGAGGACCGGGAGCTCCGAGCCTGTGAGGTGGGGTGGCGTGGAGCATGGGCCCAGCTGCAGGAAGAGCAGCTCTGGCTGCACTAAGCCCGCCTCGACCTGGGGCCGGGCCGTCTCAGCTCTCGTGGTGCAGGGGGAGCCACCTGCTCTCCTCTTCCACTCCCTGCCATTGGCCTCCAGGCCAGGGTTCAGGGCTCCCCAGGCTGGCCAAGGGAGGCCAGGCCTGCACCCTCCCTTCCCGGGGCGAGTGAGCAGAGCTGGGCGCTGGCCTGGGTGCTGGGGCAGCAAAGGTGAGGGGTCGTGATGAGGGAGCCTGACCGCCCAGCGAGAGGCGGCCGTATGGGGGTGCAGACTCGCTGAACTAGTCCTTCGCCTCTGAGCCTCAGTTTCCTTGGCTTTAAATGAAGACCTCGGGCTTCTGAGGGTCACGCCAGTCGGCACTCACTGCCCGGCACGGGCGCTGCTCCGCCCGCTATACCTTCCCCAGGGGCCCCTCCCTCAGGGCGCTCCAGGGAACCACGGTTCCAAGATCGGGAGGGGCCCCGAGGCCCAGCAGCTTCCCCCCGCCGGGCTGCGGCCAGCGCTGGGACCAGCTTCCCCCCCCACCCCCCCCCGCGGCCCGGGACCAGCGCTGGGACCAGCTTCCCCCCGCGGCCCAGGGCTCGGGTGCCGCTCAGGCCTCGCTTTGCCCAGTGCCCAGAGGATGCCCAGCGCCTATACGCGCTCCCTGCTCGTCAGGAAGCCACACCTCCCAGGAGGGAGGCCGATGGGCTCCCCCGGGCCCTGGGGACAGAGCAGAGGGAAGGAGGGAGGGAGGCAGCATGGAGGCGGCCGTCTCCTGGGTCAGCCTCTAGGCCAGGCGGGCGGGCCGGGCCCTGGAGATCGCGGGGCCAGGCTGGCAACTTGAGGCACCGGGTGGTGAGCTGCAGAGGGACCGTTTGCTCCGGTCAGGCCGGAGAGGGCCGGGCCGCGAGCTGCCGTGGGAGAGGCCGTCTCAGCCCCCACCACGCCTTTGCCCGGCTGAGTGTGCTTGTGCTCACGGCAATTTTTTTATTTTAATACTTTTATTGATTCCAGAGAGGAGGGGAGGGGGGGAGGGAGAGGGAGAGGGAGAAGCATCATGATGAGCGAGAATCATAATCAGCTGCTTCTTGCATGGCCCCTACTGGGGATGGAGCCCACAACCCGGGCATGTGCCCTGTCCAGGAATCGAACCATGACCTCCTGGTTCATAGTCAACATTCAACCACTGAGCCACGCCGGCCGGGCTCAAGGCAGTCTCTAAGCAGCAGCCCCCCCAGTCTTCACCTGCCCCAGCCTGGCTGGCCTGCAGGGACGTGTGCGGAGATGGGCAGGTGGAGCCCGCATTCCGTTCTCCGGCTGCTCGGGAGCAGCAGGCCGGTGCCTGTGCAGAGGGATGGAGAGCAGTGGGGCCAGGGTGGGCAGAAGGCTGCAGGGCGTGTGCACAACATGTGTGTGCAGGCACGCGTGACCCTGGCCACTGCACCACGCACACACACGCTTTGGCATAGGATTCTCTAGGTCTCAGGTCCCAGAAGAGGTGATATTTGAGTTGTTCCTACAAGGATGAGTGTATGGGCGGAGGGGGGGGGGGGTCCCTGGGGAGAGTGTGTGGAAGGAAACAGAAGGAGGGACTTTCTCTGGCCGAGGGGAGCCTGTGGGCTCCCTGAGCAGTGGCAGGGCCGTGGATGCGTGGGGTGCAGTGAGGGCGGGTGAGGCCTTTCTAGGGGACCCAGGGCCTGCACTGGGGCTGCGGGATGAGAGCAGAGGAGAGAGCCTCCCGGGGTCCCGCCCTTCCCCCGTGGGGTGATGCCGGGTGGGAGGGGCACTCAGGGATGTTCCTGATCAACCTAGAGGTCAAATTCGGCCCCTGGGCTGGAGGTTCAGGCCAGTTCCAGAGCAGGCAGGGAGGCCCCGGTGCAGGGGGTCGGCCCACTTCCCATGCAGGTGAGCCGGTGTGCCCCAGGGGCAAGGTGCTCTTCAGACCCAGGCTGCTGCAGCGGTCCTGAGTGGGGGCGCCCTTGGGTGAGGAGCTGTGCCAGCGGCGGGTGAGCAGCTGCGTGCTGAGCGTGTAAACGGGCCGCTGGGCTGGGGCTGGTGTCGTCCTCCGGCGGTGGCAGTGCCCGGGCCTGCGCCTCAGAGGACCGGTGCCCTTGGACTCCATGAGGCCCGTTTGCGGTCTGACAGATGCTCAGCTGCTTCAGCTGCAGAGGAGGGAAGAGCTCCCCACAGTCTGGCCCCGGCCTTCCCACTGTCCACGGCCCGCCGCACTGCATGCTGGGAGATGTAGTTCTCAGTGTCCTAGCCTAATCTGGTGCCCCAGCACTTCCTGCCTGACTGTGTTGGTTTGGGAAGCAAGTCCAAACATTCTTGTTGACCACAAGCCTCCTCCAGATCCTAGATTCAGACTGCAAACCCCAACCTTCCCTCTACTCAGACCCATCCGAAGCCCCACAGCAGTCCACCAGCTCCATCCGGGAGCCGGCCCTGCAGTAATCGGCCCCGCTCCCGAGGGGAAGCTGCAGCCAGTCAGGAGTCGGGGCCCCTTTGTGAGAGGATGTGAGGGCTGCAGCTGGATCCCGCGTCCCCCCCTCTCCCCCACCCCCGCCAGCAAGCATAGCAACCGGCTCAGCTCCCCCTCCCTCCCCCACCCCCCGAGCGCTGGAGGCTGTGGTGCTGCTGGCACAGGCGGCCTGCGGGACAGCTGGAGGGCCAGTGTGGCCGGCGGTTCTTCCCCCAAGCCTGTGGGGCTGGAGTCATAGCCATTCTTCTCTGCACAGGCGCGGACACAGCCAACACAGCCAGGGGCCCTGGTCCAGAAGCTCCTGGGGCCCTGGCCGGTTTGGCTCAGTGGATAAGTATCAGCCTTCAGACCTGAGGGTCTCTGGTTTGATTCCAGTCAAGGGCATGTACCTCAGTTGCGGCTCCTCCCCAGCCCCAGGTCAGGGTGCCTGTGGGAGGCAAACAATCGATGTGTCTTTCTCACATCGATGTTTCTCTCCCTCTCCCACTCTCTCTAAAAATCGTCTCCAAGAGTGCAGAGCTGGGGAATCTGTGAGCCTGCCCCGTGTGACCACTAACAAAGTGGGTGCTCGGCACATGCTTGCTGACCAGTGGTTGGGTGGACGGATAGACGGAAGGATGAGTGGATGGGTGATAGGGGAGCAGGTGAACAGAAGAGAGCATCCAGCCTGGGTGGGAACTGGAAGGGTCACAGGCAGGAGAAGGCCACAGGCAGGGGAAGGTCAGGGGCGGGGGGAGGCCACGGGCGGGGGGCAGGCCACGGGTGGGGGGGGTCAGGGGCGGGGGAGGTCAGGGGCGGGGGGTCAGGGGCGGGGGGAGGTCAGGGCGGGGGTCAGGGGGGGTCAGGGGCGGGGGGGTCAGGGGCGGGGGGGGTCAGGGGGCGGGCAGGGGGTAGGGGGGTGGGTCAGGGGCGGGGGGGGGTCAATCGGCGGGGGGGGTCAGGGGCGGGGGGGGGTCACAGGCGGGGGGGGTCAAGGGAGGGGGGGGGTAAGGGCGGGGGTCGGGGGGCGGTGGGGTCCATCGGCGGGGGGGGTCAGGGGCGGGGGGTCCAGGGGGCGGTAAGGGGGGGTCAGGGGCCGGGGGGTGTCAGGGGCGGGGGGGTCATCGGCGGGGGGGTCACCGGCGGGGGGTCACCGGCGGGGGGGGTCATCGGCGCAGGGGGGGTCGGGGGGGTCACCGGCGGGGGGTCACCGGCGGGGGGGTCAACCGGCGGGGGGGTCACCGGCGGAGGGGTCAGGGGCGGGGGGGTCACCGGCGGGGGGTCAGGGCGGGGGGGGTCCACCGGCGGGGGGGTCACCCGGCGGGGGTGTCACCGGCGGGGGGGTCGGGGGGGGTCACCGGCGGGGGGGTCACCGGCGGGGGGGGTCACCGGCGGGGGCAGGTTCCAGAAGAGGCGGCTGCCTCGGTGCCCCTCGGGAGGCCGCTCCCCCTGGTGGGAGCAGCTGTGAGACCAGAGAACCTTGAGGCTCCGGAGGGCTTCTCTGGACGTGGACAGTGAGGACAAATACTCAGTAAATGATCACTGGGCAGCCAGGCCGGCCTGGCTCCGGGGTTGAACATCGGTCTCTGAACCAGGAGGTCAGGGTTCGACGCAGTCAGGGCACAGGCCTGGGCTGCAGGCTCGATCCCTGAGTTGGAGCGTGCAGGAGGCAGCCGATCCATGATTCCCTCATCACCGATGTTTCCCTCTCCCCTCCCTTCTCCTCTGAAATCGATTTCCAAAAGAACAGCTAGCTTTATGGGCGCCTGCACAGAGGACAATGGGACAGGAGCTCTGCCCACTCCACCTGGAGGGCATGGCGGCCCCACCTCCACCTGTGACTGGGAACGATCCCCCCCCCGCCTCCCCGTCCCCTTCCCGTCCCCTTCCCGTCCCCTTCCCGTCCCCGTCCCCGTCCCCTTCCCGTCCCCTTCCCATCTCCGTCCCCTTCCCATCTCCGTCCCCTTCCCGTCCCCTTCCCGTCCCCGTCCCCTTCCCGTCCCCTTCCCCGTCCCCGTCCCCTTCTCCCCGTTCCCATCCCCATCCCCGTTCCCGTCCCCGTCCCCGTCCCCGTCCCCGTCCCCGTCCCCATCCCCTTCCCGTCCCCTTCCCGTCCCGTCCCCGTCCCCGTTCCCTTCCCGTCCCCGTCCCCTTCCCGTCCCCGTCCCCGTTCCCGTCCCCGTCCCCGTCCCCGTCCCCGTTCCCGTCCCCGTCCCCGTCCCCGTCCCCGTCCCCGTTCCCGTCCCCGTCCCCGTCCCCTTCCCGTCCCCCCGTCCCTTCCGTCCCGTCCCGTTCCCTTCCCGTCCCCGTCCCCGTCCCCTTCCCGTCCCCGTCCCCTTCCCGTCCCCTTCCCGTCCCCGTCCCCGTCCCCTTCCCGTCCCCTTCCCGTCCCCGTCCCCTTCCCGTCCCCGTCCCCTTCCCGTCCCCTTCCCGTCCCCTTCCCGTCCCCGTCCCCGTCCCCTTCCCGTCCCCTTCCCATCTCCGTCCCCTTCCCATCTCCGTCCCCTTCCCGTCCCCGTCCCCTTCCCGTCCCCTTCCCCGTCCCCGTCCCCTTCTCCCCGTTCCCATCCCCATCCCCGTTCCCGTCCCCGTCCCCGTCCCCGTCCCCGTCCCGTCCCCTTCCCGTCCCCTTCCCGTCCCGTCCCCGTCCCCGTTCCCTTCCCGTCCCCGTCCCCTTCCCGTCCCCGTCCCCGTTCCCGTCCCCGTCCCCGTCCCCGTCCCCGTTCCCGTCCCCGTCCCCGTTCCCGTCCCCGTTCCCGTCCCCGTTCCCGTCCCCGTCCCCGTCCCCTTCCCGTCCCCGTCCCCGTCCCCTTCCCGTCCCCGTCCCCTTCCCGTCCCCTTCCCGTCCCCGTCCCCGTCCCCTTCCCGTCCCCGTCCCCTTCCCGTCCCCTTCCCGTCCCCGTCCCCGTTCCCGTCCCCGTCCCCATCCCCGGGCAGCCCGTCCAGCCTGAGCTTGGAAGGACTCTTCCACCCTGGAATCTGCCTGGTCCCCCTGCTGCCGACCACGCTGCACCGCAGGGCAGACACCCTCCCCCGCAGACCACCCCACCTGCAGAAAGGACGGGCGCTCCAGGGCCCCAGCCTCCAGGTGTGCCCTGACCTGCCCGCCCCCCGCTGGCCGTGGTCTCCGGTGCCACCCTGTGGCGGTGCTGGGAACTGCCACTCCGGCCTCCGTCCTGGCCCCACTGGCCAAGAAAGTCACCTGCCAGCCTCTTCCTTGCTCCTCTTTCTGCCTTTCTGCATTCCCAGTGTGACCGTGTCTACACAGACTCACCAATTAGCAGGGCATACGGCTCGCCATGGCATAGGGCGTGTGCCCAGGTGACCTGCCTCCCAGTCACCTTTAGTACCAAGTCCGCCCTGGCACGCCCGTCCCCGCACATGCTGGCTGAGCGCCGATTCTCAGGGCCAGGCTGGCAGCACCTCTCCCCCCACCCTACCCCGCTGTGCCCTGCAAGGCCAGATGCAGGCAGAGCCACAGCCCGGCTTCTGGCACTGGCACTGGCTGGGCACTCTGGGCCCGCCCGGGAGCCGGCAGCTTCCTGTGCTCTAGGAGCAGTGAAGTCAGGGCCCTGGGACGTGGTGTGGGCAGGGCTGCGTCAGGGCAGTGTCTGCGGGCAGGCCCTGGCCGGCTCTCCGGTGTCCTGGGCAGTAACCGCAGCCTGCTCCATGGCGCTGTGGGCGCGGGGCCGGGGGCCGACGCCACAGCCAAGGGGGTGGGCACAGAGGCCTCTGCCCGCGTCACACCGCAGCCTGGAGCTGGGCGGGAGCCGTCTGTCCCGGCCACCCTCCCCTGCCACCGAGCCGGCACTGACCGCCGTCTCTCTTCCTCCCCAGAATTCCCCTACACGCCGTCCCCTCCGGACCACGGGCGGCGGGCCGGGCCCGTGCCCACGGCCGTCATCGGGGGCGTGGCGGGGAGCGCGGTGCTGGTGCTGCTGGTGGTCGGGGCCGCCCTGCTGGCCCTGCGCCGGCGCCGCCACACCTTCAAGGGCGACTACAGCACCAAGAAGCACGTGTACGGCAACGGCTACAGCAAGGCGGGCGTCCCACAGCACCCCCCGCCGCTGGGCCAGAGCCTGCAGTACCCCGACGACTCGGACGACGAGAAGAAGGCCGGCCCGCTGGGGGGCAGCAGCTACGAGGAGGAGGAGGAGGAGGAGGGCGGCGGGGGGCGCGAGTGCAAGGTGGGGGGCGCGCACCCCAAATACGACGAGGACGCCAAGCGGCCCTACTTCACGGTGGACGAGGCCCAGGCCTGTCCGGACGGCTACGGGGACCGGACTCTGGGCTACCAGTACGACCCCGAGCAGCTGGACCTGGCCGAGAACATGGTCTCTCAGAACGACGGGTCTTTCATTTCCAAGAAGGAGTGGTACGTGTAGACCCGGCCTGTCTGCGCCCTCCACCCGCACGCCCCCGGCCCCTGGGACTCACGCTGCCCGGCCCCCGTCCTGCCTCCCACTGTCCTCTGTGCGTTGATGTGGCTGCGCCCCTGTCCCTGGCAGTGCCCCTTGCTGTGTGCAGCCGGCCTGGTCTCGTCTCTGCACCTGGCACCCAGCCTCCAGGGCCCGGGAGCCCCTCCCCACCCCAGCACTGGAATGCCTCTTCTCCGCTGGGGGGGCCCAAGGGCCTCCGAGGAAAAGCCTCCCCCATCTGCTCCCGTTCCCGTGCGAGTGGGCGCGGCCGGTGGGCCCGGCCTAGACCCGAGAGGGGGCGCCGGGTGCTGAGGGTGCTGAACAGACGAGGCCCGGGGCCGTGGGCGCGCTGGGTGCGTTTTCCTCGTCCTGCACGGCCACCCCAGTCTGTCCCCACAGAGGGGCCTCCCCCGTCACTGCCGACAGACAAGGACTCACAGGCCACCCGTCTGCTCCCGCACACCCCGGCCACGCCTTCCCCGGGAACCCGGCCCACGGCTGCCCGCTGCCTCCCCTCCCCCCACAGCGGGGCAGCTGGGGGCGGCCCCGCGCCTCCCCCGGGATGGTGGGCTGGCCCTGAACCGCTCCGCGCAGCGCGGAGCCTCTGGCCTCTCACCCAGCAAGTTCTAGCAGCGGATGCGCGTGGGTCAGGATTGGGGTCCCGGTGCGGGGGGAGCTCAGACTGAGGCTGTGGGTACGCCTCGCCCACTGAGGCCAGGAAGTGGAGGGGGAGCTGGATACTGCTCCGAGCTCCTGCTGCCCCCCCCTCAGCCGTCCCTGAGCGGGGAGAGCGGCCCCTCTGAGCTGTAGTTCCCTGTGCGGAGCCTGAGCTGCAGCCACCCAGTCCGTCTCCGTGAGGAGCAAGGCCCGCCCCGCCCTTGTCCTTCCTCAAAGTGCCTCAGGTCCTCCCTCTGCCCATCGCCGCCCGCCCCGCCCCTGGCTCCGGGTGGGAGACCCTGGGTGGGGCGGCGGCCACACCTGCCCGCTGGATCTGGTGAAGGGGCCGGTGTGACCCCAGGGGATGGCACGTGTTGGGAGGAGGGGCGGATGGCTGCCCGGCTCCGCTTGCCCTCCCGCAGGCTTCCCCGGGGGGCCCCTCCTCTTTCTCCCGCTCTGGTGCTGCTCTGGGCCCTGGCCGCCTCCTGGCAACCGTGGCCCACAGCTGGGCCGCCCTCCCCTGCGCCCACCAGCCGCCCAGAAGCCGCGGCAGCCCGGGGCCGCCTCCCCTGGGCCGGGTGCTGGCTGGAAGGCAGCCGGGGAGAGTTCCGGGCTCTTTCCAGCCAGAGAAGAGGAGGGGAGGAGGGAGGGATTAGCCCCAGGGGAGGGGCCTTCTCCGTGTGGCATCACTGTCCCTCCAGCCAGGCATTCTCTGTGCCCTTGAACCCCAGACTGAAAGGATTCCTCCTCTGTCCATGCTACCACTGCCACCCGTTTCTCACCCTGGGCCCGCCAAGGCACTGAGGCCCCCGACCCTCCACGCCCTCCCCAAGCAAAGCACAACCCGCGCGCCTGTGCCCCCGGAGCCGCGCAGCCTTCCCCTCGAGAGCCCGCCGCGAAAGGCACCAGGCGCGTCCCGCGGGCCTGGGTGGGTTTTCTGTGCCCCCGTCTGCAGGGCACGCTGCGGGCCCGGGAGCTGTGGCCCGGCAGGACGGGAGGGGGCATGGCTTCCCTGTGACACCAGCACCACTGAGCCCTGGCCCCCCTGGCTGGAGACGAGGTGAACTTGGAATTGGGGGCCTGAGACCTCCTGCTGCCATCCTGCCCGGGCCCAGCCGGCCTCCCTGTACCGTTTTCTAAGCGTTTGGTATTATAACGTGGGACAGAACCCCGGGGCGGGCGCGTACACCCCTGGCAGCACAGGCTCCGGGAGCACCGGGCCTGCACCCTCTGCCAGCCCCTCCCTGTGCCAGGTCACTGGTGCCATCTCCCTCCTGGCACCCGCCAAGCAGAGGAAGCAGGGAGGGGGCCGCCTCATGAGCAGCCCGGGGGGCGCCTGGGCCCGGCGCACAGCCAGGAGCCGGCCCTCTCGGCTCCGGCCACTGCCGCAGGCACAGGCGCCCGGCGGCCTCCCCGAGCCAGGCACAAGCTTTGCCTCGGCTTCTTGTCCATTTTCATCTTCGGTCCAGGCCGCCCACAGCCTCCTGGTTCCGACGGGGGTGTGGCCTCGCCCCCTTTTACTTGTATTAAAAACTCATGGGTTGAAAGATGTACTTTTTATAATAAAGTGTTTGAAACAACGCTGGCTGGCTCGTGTCCCTCCCCGCCCTGGGGTAGTGGTGCCCATCCTTCCTGGCAGGGACCCCCAGGCCCAGGGAACCCCGTCCTGCCATCCGGCAAGAGCCCCATGGGAGCCCGGCCAGTGCGGCTCAGCGGTTGAGCAGGAGGGCCTGGTTTGATTCCAGTCGGGGCACAGGCCCGGGTTGTGGGCTTGATTGCCAGTGCGGGCGTGCAGGAGGCAGCCGGTCAGCGATTCTCTCCCTCTCTCTCCCTCCCTCTCTGAGATCCATAGAGAGACATACATATTTTAAAAGACCCCAAGGGAGGACGTGAGGGCCCAGCCTAAGTCGCCCGCCGCTCCCGCACTCACTGCCATCTGGCATCCGGCCGGCCAGTGGGTGGCACAGACCCTTAGGGTGCGGGTCCAGAGGGGTGGAGGCTGTCTGGAGAGGCGGCTGTGAGGGCTGGAGCCCCGGCCCAAGCTGGGTGCTCTGCTGACCCCGCCCACTGGCCTGCTTCCAGCTGCCACCCCCACCCCACCCCGGCTTTGGAGGGGCAGTGTCACACCGGTGTGTCAGCTCCCTCCGACAGGTGAGAGGCGGGAGCTGCTTTGTGGAGGGCGCTGCCAGGCCGTGCGTCCAGCCCTGGAGACCCAGCTGCCTGAGGGGCTGCAGCAGGGACGGGCTGCGGCCCCTCAGTGCCCCCTCCTCGCTCCTGCCATCTGCTTCCCATCTTAGCGGATGGAATGCAGGACCAATTGGGCGGCGTGGGAGCGTGGGCTCCTGGCTCCCCTCCCACCCCAGCGCTTCCCCCTGAAATGCACCGTCTGAGCAAAGGGGCGGGGCCACGGGCTGCCCACAGAGCCTCCTGCCGCCCGCAAGGCGCTGTTCGCACGGGGCTGGACCGGGCACAACTGGGGAGCGCCCGGCGCGGAGACGGTGGCGATGAGCGGGCAGCTGGCGGCAGCTGGCGGCCTCGCCGAAGGCCGTCCGGGCTGTAGATGCTGATGCCCGAAGGAGGTGAGGACGGCTGAGGAGGGGCCCCTCCCTCCGTCCGTTAAGTGCATGTTAGTTTGCACAGGAGCGGTGTGATGGCGTGATTAATAGGTTGGAAGAGGCAGTGGACAGACGTCCTACTTGGTTTTTACTGGAGCGTTCTGGCAGATGAAGACTTGGCGGCGGCAGGAGGGCAGGCCAGTCGGTCCGGCACAGCCTCTGGGTCCCCAGGACCTCAGGACCCGGAGTCCGGGCACAGGAGCCGCTGGCTAAGCCACGTTCTGCGCTGAGATTCCTTCCCAGGTCGCAGCCCTTGTCTCCAGCCCCCCACCCGACCCTCAACAGAGCAGAGGGCCACACGCTGTCTGCCCGCCTGCACTCCATCTGCGCCGGGGGCCCGGGACTGAGCCTCTGTCACAGCTTCTCCCTGGAGGCCTCAGGGCTCCTCTCCGGTCCTCACCTGGGCCCCTGGCCGCAGGGGGCGGGGGGGGGGGTGAGTTTGACGAATGGCGGGACCAGTTATTCGCTTGTGCACACATCCATTCACCCATTTATTCATCCATTCATCCATTCGGGGCCCTGAGCCGGGCACTGTTGAAAGACAGATCTTCCAGGATCTCAGATTCCAAAGCAGCAGGCTTTGCTGTGCTCGGCGGGCTGAGGCAGGGCTGCGTGCTGGACGCTGCTGGCGACACGTCTGTCTGGGAAGGTCTGAGGTTTACAGCTGAGGTGACACTTCCCCTGGGCCTTGAAGGATGTATAGGAATTCTTCAGACAGAGCTGTGTTAAGAGGATTCTAGGCCAAATGAGAATTTAGCATCTTATATTAGTTGTAAAAGAGATCATTTGAGGGGGCCAAGTAGAGGGTACCCCAACAATGTACATACACTTAAGTGATTATAAAGTCAGTGTTTATTAACATACTGTTCATTTTTAAAAGCTAAAAGAACATACAGAAATGAATACTTTTTTGTCAATGAGTTTCAAACTGATGACTGTTGTGGTCCAGGCACTGCTGACCCTTGAAGCGATGGAACCGCAAACGTCAGGAATCGTTTTGTTCGGCGCTTGTGCGCCTCGGTGCGCCCCCTGCTGCCGGTGTGGGGCGTCAGCTTTAGTATCCCCCCACAGCTCCTGGACAAACGTTCTTTGTTCAAAGCTCAGCCTGGCTTCACCTATTATTTCAAACAGTTACACCTGAAAGGAGTAAGAAGTGAGTTATCAGGGTGTCTCCCAAAAACATGCATACACACTTTGAATAATTATAGAGGCTGTTCGTACTGAACTGCATTTTCAAACTTCCGAGCATTTTAGGCTGAATTTCCTTTGTTCAGAGCTAGTCTGGCTGAAAAGAAAGAAGTGCTGGTTGAGCCGGCGAGCTTCCGGGGCACCTGTTTGGTGAGAGGTGATCTGACTGTGGGTGGTGAGCACACCATGCAGTACAGGTCACGGATCAAAGACGTGTACACATGGCCTGGCTGGTGTGGCTCAGTGAATAGAACATAAGATGCAGACTGAAGGGCCCTGGGTTCGATTCCAGTCAAGGATATGTACCTCAGTTTCAGGCAGGCTGATCCCGGCTCTGGCAGGGGTGTGTGCAGGAGGCAACCAGTCAATGTGTCTCTCTCACATCCATGTTTCTCTCTCCGTCTCCCCACCTTTCTACTCTCTCCAAAAATTGATGGAAAAATAGACTCGGATGAGGATTAACAAAAAAGCAACAACAACAAATAAATAAATATATATATATATATATGCATTAAAAAAATCCCAGTTGCTCCAGCTGTTCTGAAACACGCGTACACACATGCACACACAACCACCACACATTCCTAGTTCCCTCTCTCACTGAAGGCCAGAGATAAAAGACTGTTCCAGCAGGGTGGGGTGGGGTGTCATCTGCTTGTCCCCCCCGAGCCTGGCCTGCGTCCTCTAACACTGGGCACCGCCAGCCCAGCCGCCTGCTTGCAGTGACGGGGACCACGGCGGGGTGGCAGTTCGGGGTGGGGGTGGATGGGTGAGTCTTCTCTGCATGTGCATCCTCTGTGCTGGCTGCTTCTCCCCGAACATGACGACTTGGCCAGGATCTCACTGAGCCGCACGGCCCCCTCAGATGTGTTCTATCTGCTTAGGTCACAGCAGGTGTTTCTCAGGAGCCCGGTGAGGGGGACAGGGTCCCCTGAGGTTGAGTGGGCGCACCCTATGAGCTGTGTGGGCCTCATGCAGGTTGCCCACTCCCTGAGCTGTGTCCTCACCCTAGCCTGCTGTGGTGGCCGGCCACTGTGCTAGAAGGTTCCTGCGGAAGCAGGAGCGACAGGGGGCCTTCCGCCAGCGGAGTGCTGAGCTCAGTCCTGGCCGAGGGCGTGGCAGCCACCTGCCTTCCGCCTCATGTGACGCCATCCCCTTGGCTTCCGCCTCAGTAGTTTGCTTCGCCCCCACGACCAAGGAGCTGGATGTGTCCCTCAAGGTTATGGGCTGGTGTGGATCCCTGCCCAGAGGTCAGCCACACTGACCGGCGAGGTTTGGTTTCTGCAGGGACAGAGTCTGGGACCCTTGCTCTACCGGCTCTCTCTCCTGCCGGGCTCTCCTGCTGGGCGCTGGACAATGGCCCCGGACAGCAGGGGGGCAGGGCGGGGGCGGCGGGGGGATCTTCTTGGGCTAGAGAATCTGGAGCTATGCACAGGCCGCAGGCATCACCACCACCCCCTCCTCACCCCCACCATCCTCCCCTCCCCTCCCAGCCCCTGCTTGAATGCCAGAGCACAGGGACACCAGCACAAGGACAGTACTGGTGTTCAGTGCTCCCCTGCCGCTCCACGACAGGCACTCCGCACGCATCACACTTACTTCCTCCATGTCCCCAGTTTAGAGGGAAGCTGAGGCTCAGAGCAGTGAGGGCCACCGGCTAGAGGGGAGCATCAGGCCCCTGTGCATTGCCTCAGACCTGCCGTCTTCCCCCAGCAGCACTCACTCTCTGAGGGGAGGCAGGGGAGAGCGGGGGAGGGAGGGAGTGCCAGCCCTCAGCGGGTGTGACACACAAATGGCTTCTCTGTGCTTCTAGCTTTCCCAACCTGCTGGGCAAGGTCCTTGCTCATCTCTCTCCCTCAGCAAAGGCGGGCCGAGGGCCAGGGGTCAGGTCCTTATCCGGCAGGATCCCCAACAAGGAGACGGTCCCTCCCGCCTCAGAAGTGTGCACGAAACCCCAGTAACTCCTCCAGCTGGGCCTGCCAGAGCCAGTGGGCAGAGTGGGCATCTAGGAGAGTCAGGCCCATCATGTTCATTCTTCCTAATGACAGCTCAGGGGGGCAGGCCAGGTGGCGGGGCTGGGAACGAGGGACATTGGGAGAGCATTGCAAAGGTGGACCACTGTGTGCAGGCGGGGTCACGCCCAGCAAGGGGCTGGGGAAAGCTGAGGGCAGGCATGCGTCCAGCCACAGGCCGCTGCCCAGATGTGCCCAAGCAGCAGACCTGCCCCTGCCCCACCAGCACCAGTGCTCACTGAGCACGGACTGGGCACAGGCACTGTGCTCGGCTCTAACATGCATGACATATCTATGCCCGGCAACACAGGTGGGGACACTGAGGTCAAGAGAGTTGGAGAGACTTTGCAAGGTTATACAGCTAAGTGGCGAATTTAAGAGTGAGCGGCGTGTCTTCCTCAGAAGATGACCTGGGAGAAGAAGGCAGCAGGAGCATGAAAATGGACCAGGCCAGCATCTGAACTGAGGGCCTCAGTGTCTGGTTCCCACCTCATCCCGTCATCAGTGACTGTGTGACGTGAGCATTCACTAAACTTCTCTGTGCCCCAGCTACCCGCTGTCATCCAAGCGAAAGGTGGGAACATCAAATGAAGCTATTTAACTAAAGGCACATGCAGGATATAATGATATGAGACAAATGTGACATAGGTGTCATTCAGCCCGAGTGCTGGCTGAGAAGCCAGCTTCCAGGGAGGGGAGAAGCCACCACCATCACCATAATCACCACCACCATCATCATCATCACCATCATAAACACCACCATCATCACCATCATCAACACCATCATCATTACCACCATCATCATCACCATCATCAACATCATTACCAACCATCATCACATCATCACCACCATCATCACCATCACTGCCACCATCTACCCTCATCACATCATCACCATCACCACCAACCATCATCATCATTACCACCATCATCATCACCATCGACATGCATCTATTTAGTAACAACAGAAAGAGCACCATGTATTGCAAACTGAGAACATTCTGGGCACTGTGCTAGGCACTTTGCATAACGTACGTCCGCTCCAGACACAAGGAGTGGGAGTCGGGTCGCGGTAGAAAGAGGGCAGGGCAGAGCCAGGGCTGCAGCCTCCATCTAGGAGGTCGAGGCCTTGCCTACAAGGGGAGCTCCGCCCAAGTTCGGAACCACAGCGAACTCCAGCCACAGGCAGCCTGGCACAGGCAGGAGTGCAGCCCGGCTCAGGAGCTGGCCAGGAGCCTGCCAGGGAGCAGGCAGGCTGCGGCTCCCGGCAGCGGCAGCCCCGGGGCCAGGCCTCCTCACCCAGCATCCCAGGGAGAGAGAGGCAGTGGCCTGGCCCCGCCTGAGCCGTGTGGCCAGGTATTCCCGGCTGCCTGCGGCTCCCCAGCTCCAGACTCGGTACCCCTCCCCAGCCTGGGCCAGAGGAAAGTGCCTGAGAGACCCTCCAGTATGGGCTGAGCCAAGGAGGAGAGGGCCGTGTCCACTCCTAGGCTGAGGGACAAGTGATTGCCACCCCAAGTGTGATGGTGCTCTGGGGCCCTGGAAAGCAAGCGTTGAACTATAGAGACGCTGGCAGGGAGCGGAGGGAGCCGGGACAGATGACAGACAGACACTTCCAGGAAGGGTGTGGGCGGGCTGGGAGCACAGGCAGGGAGCTGTCTTGATGTTGGGGCCACCGTCCTGTGGAGGTCTGCTGCCCTCTATGTCCCCGCTCAACCCATCCCTGTGGGTCAGGTCCTGGTTCCCAGAGCTGGCGGAGAAGATGGAGCAACAAGACTAGAACGGGTCTCGGGAGCTCCGCCTCCATCTAGCACCTGGAGCTGCAGGTGCAGGGAGGCTGTGGAGAGAGGAGAGCTGGCCCAGAGCCTGCCTCTGGCCAGTGGTGGAGCCACCCGCCCACCGGGCTGGAGCATCGACAGCCCTGAGCCAGGCCTGCCGCTGCCTGTCCCCCCCCGCCTCCTGCTGCCCACCCCTCCGCACCCACTGCCCGCCCCATCTACTAGGGCTCACTCCCTCGCGTGCCCCGCATCTCACACGTCCCTGCAGCACGCTTCCCTCCACCTGCAATGCTCTTCTCCCTTCATTCCGGCAAATGCCCAGCGTGCTTTCAAGCCTCCTCAGAAGGCCCCTCCTCCGAAGCCCATCACTCACTCTCTCCTCAGCACCGTGCGGGGCCCTGACAGACTTCTCTTGAGTCATGACACACAATAGGGACTTGTTTGTGATGGATCCTCCCTTTCCCCAACTGGTGGGCGGCTGTGACGTGACCCGCACCTGCGGCCTGGATGTTCCTGAGCACCTAGCCAGGCACCTTACATGGGCTGTACGTTGAACCGCCAATCAATACCCTAAGCCCCGATTCCTAAGTCCCTAATCATGTGCCTTATATGAAGCCACCAATCAGCGCGTGCCGAGTCCCCTCAGCCCCGTCCCTTCCCGTTCTCCCTCCAAAGGCTGCTCCCGCTGCAGCTGCTGCTGCTCCCCGGAGGCAGCCCGGCAGGGAGCTCACGAAACCTCGGCCTCACCTCTCAGTTTGTGTACCTGCCTGACGCCCCCACTAGCCGGGGGCAAGGCCCACAGACCTGACGCGCAGTAGGGCCAGCAGCCCGGGAAAGCGAGCGCTCGTGAGGCAGGCCGTCTGGTTCCCCCCACCACCACCTGTGAGCAGAGCGGGCTCCGGACCATGGGGTACGGCCGCGGGGTCGTGGGGGGGGGGGGGGGGGAGCGCAGACAGATTGCTGGGTGCCTCCCCACCTCGGGCCTCCGCGCCAAGGGGAGCTCCAGGAAGGCCAGGAAGGGCCTGGGCCCTCGGCCTGAAGCCCCCTTCGCCCCAGGACTGGGCCCAGGTCTGGTTTCCCTCTGAACTGGGGTCACATTCTCAGTCTGTGGGAGGGAAAACCAGGTGTGCTGTCCCTAGGGGGCAGGGGAGAGCTCCCAGGCTTGGTGGTGTCACTGGTGTGGTCCCAGAGCCAGCGGAGGGAGTGGGCAGAGGCCATCCGGTGCCTGAGCCGGGAGGGGGCTCTGTGTGGAGGTGGGAATGGGGGGGGCACAGTGCAGGAGGAGGGTGCTCAGAGACGGGGGCCTGAGCCCGGAGGGGGCTCTGTGTGGAGGTGGGAATGGGGGGGGGGCACAGTGCAGGAGGAGGGTGCTCAGAGACAGGGGCCTGAGCCGGGAGGGGGCTCTGTGTGGAGGTGGGAATGGGGGGGGGCACAGTGCAGGAGGAGGGTGCTCAGAGACGGGGGCCTGAGCCGGGAGGGGGCTCTGTGGGACGGCTCCAGGCTGCAGAGTGAGGAGAGGGGAAGGAGAGGCGGCCTGGTGGGCGGTCCTGGCCATGGGGCACGGACATGGATTCTACCTCTCTGCGCCTTCGTGGTAGGATGAGACCAGCTGGGGGGACAGGCTGGCTGCCCCACGCCCCGCGCTGGGCTCCCTGGGAGCCAGCCCCCCGGCCTCGGGACAGAGCGGGGACTTGGCAGTCCTGCTGGAGGACACTGCAGCTGCCTCTGATCAGGCCCCGCAAGAGCCCCATGGTGGGGGGAAGGAAGGGGGGGGCGTCCCCTCCTCCGTCCGTTCCTCCTCCGGGATTATAAAGGTCAGAGGTGAGGAGAGGCAGCACAGGCCAGGAGAGGCCTCACAGCCTGGCCAGCAGGGTCGCTGTGCGGCCACCAGCCACCAGCCCAGGCAGTGCCCGCTGGCGCTGTGCTCGGGGCCCGGACTGAGCCTGGCGCCTTGCTCCTGAGCCCAGAGGCAGAGTGCCCGCGGAGCCCCCAGGCCCGCTCACTCCTGCCCGGGGCCGGGGCTCCAGGGGCACTGGCGGGCGGGGCCGGCGGGGTGGCTCAGACACAGCCTGGGCGTCCACTGTCAGGACAGGGGCCCTTGTCTCCGGGACCGCCGGCCGCACCTCTCCCCTCGGGCTCTGGCCTGGCTCCGGAGCTGCAGGCACAGCCACTCAGTCTGCGTGTGTAACTGGGAAGGAGGGGAGACGTGAACGTCCGGGGGAGCCTTCCCTGCCGGGCTGGGGTGGCACCCCGTCTCAGCACCCCTCGGTCCGCCCTGTGCCCACCCCCATTCCCACCTCCACGCCCAGGTCCTGGATGAGGGCAGAGGCTGGGGTTACAGGGCCCTGGGCACCCAGGATGGGAGGTCTGTTCCTCCCTCACCCACAGCCTCTCGCCCAACCTGAGGGCGGGAGGAGGGGCTGCAGGCCGGCAAGGCGAGGGCTGGCCCTGCTGGGGCCTGCTGCTCGTCCCTCTCCCTCCTCTCTGACCGGGTCCCCCTCGTCTCTCCCTCTTTCCTCCTCTCCGCCTCTACCAGCTACCCCCTCCCCCGTGTGCCAGCCAGCCCCTGGGCTCCTGCCCTCGTTCTTGTTCTGGGGGCTCTCCCTGGCTCCCCTCTCACTCACAGAGAAGAGCTGCTGGGGGGAGGGGACATCAGCAAGCCCAGCCCCTCCCTGAGGCCCAGGCCCCCCAGGCCTCACTCCCGCGGGCACCTGGGCAGAGCAGACCCTCGGAGGCGGGAGCCAGGCGGCCCGCATGAGGCACTGCCACCTTCCCTCTCAGCGGCTGTCACTGTTGAGGCGGGCGGAGCATGGCCACCCCACACCCGGGGGCCTTCTCCAGGGCGGACCAGGGGGAGGCAGGGCCAGGCCAGGTGAGGGAAGGGCCTCTGGCCGGGTCTGGCGGAGCCCCTGGGTCAGCGTGACCCGCGGTGTCCCCGGGCCGCAGCGCCTGGCCTGGGCTGGCCTTTCTCGTCGGAGACGCTGCGCTCGGTCCGGGTCGGAGTCACGGGAGCCTTGTCACGGGGAGGCCGAGACTCGCCCGCACCCCTTTGCCCGAGGCCTCCCCCCGCGTCCTGGGCCACGCGCCCTCAGGTTCCCACCGCGGCCCCTCGACGCCTGTGCCTGGCCGGGGCGGGGAGCACAGCCACCTAGCCACCTCCCCAGCCCCGGGTGACCACAGCCCACTCCGGGCCACTCCTGTGAGGTGGCCCAACGGGAAGGCCCCCACCCCCCAGCCTCATTCTGCGCACCCAGGACTACCCTCCCACCACCCCCCCCCCTCAAGGGTCCCTCCTCCCACAGGACCTGCGGGGTCCAGGCCCGGGAATGAGGGGGCGGGAGAAAAAAGGAAGATGTCCCCAAGGAGGGACCCCACCTGAAGGGGCCCTTCTCCACATGGGCCCCTGGACACCCCCGTCCCCACCCAGAGACAGGACCCCCTGGACACCTCCCCACCCAGGGCCCCAGGGCCCCAGGGCCCCGCTCCCTCACCTCCCCCTGCACCCACTCAGGGAACCCCGCTGGAGCCCGCAGAGCTGAGGCCTCAGCTGTTTGCACACCTCCCAGGGCAGCCAGACCGCCAGGGGTCCGGGCCGCCTGTCACCACCTGCGCCAGTCCAGCAGAGACTGTGAAGCACAGGAGCATGTGCTCCAATCCTCCGCAGTGTGGGAGAGCAGCGGGTCAACCCCCCCACACATCTGCTCTCCCCCTCCCCTCCAGCCAGCTGCCATATTGGGAAGAAGGACGAAGATTACAGGGGAAGGCGGCAAAGGGTGTGCCAAATGGGCAGTTCACAGGTACTAGGGGCTGGATTTGCAAAGGCCTGTGGGTAAACAAAGGCCTGTGGGTGAGCAAAGGCCTGTGGGCGAGCAAAGGCCTGTGGGTAAACAAAGGCCTGAGGGTGAGCAAAGGCCTGTGGGTGAGCAAAGGCCTGTGGGTAAGCAAAGGCCTGTGGGTGAGCAAAGGCCTGTGGGTAAACAAAGGCCTGTGGGTAAACAAAGGCCTGTGGGTGAGCAAAGGCCTGTGGGTAAACAAAGGCCTGTGGGTGAGCAAAGGCCTGTGGGTGAGCAAAGGCCTGTGGGTAAACAAAGGCCTGTGGGTGAGCAAAGGCCTGTGGGTAAACAAAGGCCTGTGGGTAAACAAAGGCCTGTGGGTAAGCAAAGGCCTGTGGGTGAGCAAAGGCCTGTGGGTGAGCAAAGGCCTGTGGGTGAGCCGGGCTGGGCCTCCAGAGGGCCGGGGCTCTGGCTCGGCAGCAAGGCTGCTGACTTCTCCATGCTCCCAGGAGCTCCCGCAGGGAGGGGGCTGCATTCCAGGTGAGCGCCCAGGTCCCCCTGCAGCGCCCACCAGGTGAGCCTGCGCCTTCTGTGCTCAGAGCAAAGCAGTCCGGCCACAGACAGGACTCCCGTCCTGTCCGCAGTCAGAGCCGCCCCACATTCTCTCTCTGCCCCTGTTACCAGCAGCCAGCAGTGCAGCGAAGGCAGAGATGGGGTGCCTAGGGGACCGGAGGAAACCCCAATCGTGCTGGGGTGTGAAA